CGTGGTACGCGCTGGTGTGGCACCTGCAGCCTCGTCATCGGCGCGGCGAGGGCGGCTCCTTAAACGGATGCACCACCGCCACCATGCCAGCTCGCCAGCGCGGCTTACGATCCTTGCGAGTCCTTTGCGTTTAGTTTTCTGTGTCCGCTCGAGTGGGTGGTCGAGAAGACCCTTACTCCGAACCGTACTTTCCGCGATTTGCGCTCGTATAATGAGTAAATATACCTATGTAATATGTGCACGCGTGTATGTGTGTATATTCGTGTGACTGTGTATATGCGTGTGTGTCTGGGGGGTGGTTCTCCTCTTGCGCCCCGAGACTTGCCGAGTGGACCGACTGACTGACTGACTGACTGAGGACCGTCCGTCCGTCTGTCCGTTACTCTTCCGGTCGCTCCCTGTCGCGGCTCTCGCCAGTGACAGGGGGTGGCCTCGAATACGACGGCGACGACGGGGTGCGACTGTTTAGTCGGTGGCGCTGCCGCTCCGCGTTACCGTCCCCTCGACCCTTTATCCCTTCTCCGCGGCAGGCACTACCTCTGTCACGCTCACAGGGGTTGTCCTCGTCACTCACTGCAGGCTCGACTAGTCAGCAACATCCCCGGCGCCCCACCGTTGCAGCTCCCCTATGGACGAATTCAAGGGATGGCGCTGTTGCCACCGCCGCCGCCGTCGCCGCCGCTGCTGCTGCTGCTGCTGCTGCTGCTGCTGCTGATGGTCTCGTATGAGGGGTTGCACAGCTACCCCTCGAGAGTGCTGATGTCGGTTCTCGATTCCTGCAGATCGCTCTTTGTGGTTGTGCGTATATGATACAAACGCGTGGCACGGGAATGAATGTGTGTTACTGTTATCAGTGGCGTAGGATACGAATTCTTTGCACAGTATCGCAGTTGTTAATCGACACATTCTCATAAACGCTTAGGAAAATTTTTTACAGAAGGAAAGTCCATATCAATTTCTTGAGTAAAGCAAAAAGTTTATCTATAATTTTCAAATTATTAATAAACGATTGAAAAAATATCTTCCGCGGATTAATTAGCTTTGTTTTATCGAAATGTATAACACTATACTATTCTTAAATTTTTAGATGACTTATATTTTCTTTCTCTCTTTCTTTCGCTAATAAAATTCAAATTTGAGCTTTAAATTACAAAGATAAATGATGTTTAAAATTAGGAGGTTACGAAATAATCTCGTTTGACATTCTTATGAAAGAAAAATCAAGCAAGAGCTTTAGATTGACAAAAATTCTTCATTATAAAATAATATGCGGGAAATGGGACTTGTATATTTCAGGTAGAAATATAAATTTACGCATTATTAAAAATGAAGACATATTTAAATTAAAAAAAGAAAAATGGCGATGTATGTAATAGCAGCGTAAACTATATTATATATCGTAACTGCAATATTTTGCTTTGTCTACATAAACGGTAATTTCGTATTCTTAGTACGTACACACGCGGCACCATACTTTGCGTAAAGTTGAATTTATGTTGCACTACGTATTTGGAGCTCGCTATATAGAGGGGAGATACTGGGTCGCCCAGCCTGATTTAAAAAGGAGATTGGAAAAATGTAAAATAGGAAGCCGCAGTTACAATACGTTGTAGTCTTCACTACTCTTACATTTATTTAGAATAAGAGTGGAAAGTTGAAATTATTCCTACGATTCGATATATATTCGTCACAGTTCTCAAATTAATAATAAATAACAATGTAAAAAAAATTGATGCATTCTATTTTATGTATTCATTTCTACATGTTTCAAATTTTATTTAACAATTATTCAGTATTTTTAAATAGTTATTTTAACAAATTTATGAAAATTTTAAATTGTTACTTTAACAAATTTGCTAAATTATAAGATTGTTGCTTAGAGAATCGATAATAATCTCTACAATTTTTATTACTTCTCTTTCTACAATCTTCTGCAATTCACAATAACATATAATTGTAAATAGAAGTATATCCGAATAAATAGAAATTATCGCGGCGCGCGCGACGAACTTTTCAGGGATGGTTTAGTCAGGATTTCCGGCAAAGATTTTCCATCCGGTCATCGACCTCTTACGCTACGCAACGCACTAAGCTATCTGTAAATCTTTTTCTTACAAACTCTGCTGCTGTTTATCGCACCGTGCCACATCCGGCATGCATACGCATACACGCACACGCGCATAAAGTCCCGGGATTCCTGCAAAAATCGGAGGGGAGAACAGCTGGTCAGGGTTCCACGTTTCTGAGTCTCGTTCCTGGCGTTACGATGAGCATGTAAACTCTTTTCTTCTCTCTTCCTCTCTCTCTCTCTCTCTCTCTCGAAAACGAGAGAGAGAGAGGGGGGGGATAGATGGTATTTCCTACGGAAGATTGGCTGCATAGTAGCGATACCAAGGCGATATACGTCGTCTACTTGTTGTCGCCGACACAGTGGTAGTAGTACATAGTACAGCGACGATGAGAGTGGTGGTAGTGCAAGGGTGGCGCACGTCGGGGTGATACTGTACAGGGATGTATCTCCCCTCGTGCAAAAACGAGGGTGGTGCGGTACGAGTAGGGAGGAAAGCGATAGGGCGATAGTAGCACGCGGAGCACAAGAGGAAGACGAGAGGAGAGGAGAGACGAAAAGGTTTGAGAGGGGAAAGAGAATCGCACATGCGCCTGCGTTCAGCATCGACCCGATGTCTAGGCAACACCTGGTAGCGCCCCACGTGCCACGTTAGGGTGGCACCAGCGTCACTCCGCACAGGCCGTGCGCGATCCATGCCCTCGGTATCGAATATCCCACTGGCCTTTCTCCCCCTTCTCCGCTCCCTTCTCGTCGGGGTATCTCGTCTACTGACCCACGCCAACGGAGGAGAGAGACGAGATAGACGTCTTTCGACCCTCCTGAATTCTGCGCCCGATGCACGCTCCGCGGATGCCCGGCGCCGCGACGAGGGAATTCCTTTTTCGGGGTGGGGCGCGCGGCTGGAATTTCGATACTCGAGCTCGTGCGGGTGGGTCCATAGCTGCGCAAACGATTCGGGGAAGGGGCAGAAACTTCAATATGCCGCGTAATGCTCATATTACAAGCGTTGTGAAACGCGATTCCGCCAAAAATGGACGATAGAATAGAGAACTTTTTTAGCATCGTAAAAGGTTTCACCTCTAGCTTTTTATGCAACGGTAATGTCTATAATAAACTAACTATACAAATGTAATGCTAAATTCAGATCAGCCATCCCTGAAGGAGATTCGGAGGATGATGCGGGAGGAAGCTAGTTTAGGCAAGAGAATAGAGATAAATGAGATGAGGAATACGTTCTTATTTTCTGGAGGATAAAAATACAGCTCCTGCCGTATACGATTCGTACCACGATCCATTCTCTCCTTCCCTACCATCCCCTCTGTAGAAATTAGTTTCTGTGCATCCCCACTTCTCAACACTGCTCTATCGACACGATTAAACACAAGGGAACCTCGATATTTGAACTCGATAAAGAGAATTGGGAATTTCTCCCGCGAATAATATTTGCTAATTGGAACTTTCTCGTGAAGAAATAGTAGGATGTTACATAGGATGACCTAGAATTCTCGTTCGTGCTCCACATGGTGAGGCCTTTCAACTATTTTGATCCTGTTTTCCTGCCTCAAATTCAGCGATGAAAAGATCTGAATTAGGAGAGTACCCAATTATTTTAAATTAAATTACGATTGACTGAAATAAAAGTGGCAAATCAGTTTTAATTTAATTACTACATAAATATTAATGTTACGGTGGTACATCGGTGATATATATATAGATACAGTCTCAATTATTTTTTTGTGAATTATTGAAAGAAGTTTAAACAGAATATCGGAAAGATGTTTGTCCAACCTATAAATAAAAATTATAAATTAGTTTGTGAAACAAGATTATGTTTCCTTACATACTTTCGTTTTAAAATTTATTTTATGTTAAGATTATTATATGTACATTTTTTGTTATATATATCATAAATAATCTAAATGCATAAACACAATATCATTTACATTTAGACTTAACGCGTAGATGTAGGATCTAGCCTACGCGTTGGTCTTCATCTTGAATGTATGACTACAAAAAATTTAGCGCTATAATTTAAACTTCTTTATTAAGATAAAAAATTATTTCCATCTTATGGAATTATCGTGCGATTATCTTTTGCATAATGTTGGCGCGATAGCATCTCTCTCTCTCTCTCTCTCTCTCTCTCTCTCTCTCTCTCTCGTTATTGCGTAATATTTTGTTAAAATTTTGCTTTGCAACGAGCTTCAAACGGAGAAGCCATCAATAATAATCTATTATCAAACAATGCGCCCACAAAGAGCAGATAAGCCTTTAGCGTTTACGTAGCCTCGCTTTTCACCTTGCGACACCGATTACGCGAAATCGTTATTAATTAGTCCAGCTTATCGTAAAGTATCGGGGCCACGTCGAGGTGCTTGAATTATTTCCACGAACGCGAGCGAGCTCAGTCACGTAGGGTAAGGTATTTACCCTAAACCCTTCTCCATGCTACAGTGAAGCGCATTAATGATGATCGCCTGCACTTCTCCCGTGTTATTCGCGGGTCAAAGGAACGGCAGAAACATGCACTGGACAGCGGAACATTGACGTACTATGCCAATTTCGAGAAACCCAGACTAAGTTAGTGTGTACGAACAAACACGAATGAAAAACTTGTTTCGTCGTGTTTGTCAGTTGTTCGCCCACGCTGGATTGATCTGAATCCAGACAGACGCCATCATGCTCTGTAGGATGTAACGCTCGAAG